AAGTTCTTTTATTTTGAATTCTGCCGCCAAATCTTCTTTGAGTTTTGTATAACTGCTGATATTGTTTGTTGCAAGGATCAAATCATCAACATATACTGCAATTATCAGAATATTATATACCATTTTGCTTCATTGTGTAGACACATTTATCGTTCTCCAGCGGTTTTAGTCCAATGACAGTCTGTAGGAAGTGATCAAGTTTCTTGTACCATTGTCTTCCCGACTGTTTCAAGCCGTATAAGGATTTGTGTAAATGATAAACTTTATCCTCTTCACCCGGTTGTATGAATGAATCAGCTTGGTTCAGCATGAATATATCTTCGTCAAGTTCCCTATTGATATATGCCATAACGACATCCATTTGATATAGGGTGAGTCCCAATTCTATTGATAAAGAGAGTAAAATTCTTACGGAACATTGCCGTGTTACTGGTGAACTCGTTTCATGATAATCCACTCCTGGCTGCTGAGCATATCCTTTCGCGACTAAGCGTGCCTTCCTTTGTTCTATAGTTCCATCTGCTCTATATTTTGTTCGTAGAACCCACTTGCATCCTATTATGTTTCTGTTCTGAGGTCTCTCAACTAATGTCCAAGCTTTTCTTTTCACCAAGGCTTGAAATTCTTCTTCCATTGCCTTTTTCCACTCCTGAGCATTTAACTCATTCAGAGCTTCTTCAACACTTGGATTTTCTATTCCTTCAGATATCATTTGAGCTTCTTCTTTAGTTTCTATCATGTTGAATTGTTTTCTAGGTTTTCCTCTCGAACCATCTCTGAGTAATTTCGGTCTTCTTTTTCCTCTCTTCAATGATGTTGGGTTCTTAGTTGTTCTTAGTTATCATGTTCTCTGTATCATCAATGTCTTTGGAATCTGTCACTAATTCTTTTTCATAATCATTTTCTTCTTGAGAATATATGTCTTCTTCGCTTCCATCTGTTGTGTTTTGTTTCACATCTTCTTCTAGAATATCGAAAAATATTGAATTTTCTATTTTCCTGTCTTCCCTTTCTTCAGCTTCTGTCGTTTCAAGTTTCAATGAATTTCACGTTCCTGCTAGTGATGATTCTTTTCCCTTCAGGGTCCCATAGACGATAAGCTTTTGACTCTGATGAATATCCTATGAAAGTGCATTCCTTTGATCTTGAATCAAATTTCGTTTTTGGAGATTTAATTGATGCAAATGCTTTTGAACCGAAAGTTTTAAAATGAGATACAACAGGTTTTCTTCCATTCCAAACTTCATAAGGAGTGCTGCTGTCATCTTGACTTCGGGAAGAACACCGATTTCTGATATATGCTGCTGTTGATACAGCTTCGGCCCAAACACTTTGTGATAATTTCGATTGTTCCAGCATACATCGAGCCATTTCAACTAAGGTTCGATTCATACGCTCAGCAACGCCATTTTGCTGAGGAGTGTAAGCTGTTGAATATTCTCTTCTTATCCCATTTTCTTTTAAAATTTCATTGGAATCTTTGCCGCAATACTCTAGTCCATTATCGGTCCTCAAAATTTTTATTTTTCTCCCAGTTTCTGTTTCCGCATGATTTTTTGAATAGACGAATGCTTTCTTCACCTCATCTTTCGATTTTAAGAAATATACCTGCACCAGTCTAGATTTGTCATCTATGAATGTAGCAAAATATCGTGCACCTCCTAAAGATTTGTTTTTCATGGGGCCACAAATATCTGAATGTATAAGATCCAATATGCCTCTTGCTCTTGAATGAGATGTAGGAAATGACGATGTTACTTGCTTACTTTTGATGCATATTTCGCAATTATTCAAATTTTCTGAAGTGTTAAGTTTCATTCCTTCAACCAAATTTTTCGAAACAATAGTTTTCAAATGTTTTTTGTTGAGATGGCCAAAACGAAAATGTCATTTTTGTATGTCACTAAAGATTGGTGATTTTACTACGGAAACGGATTCGGATTCTCCAATTTGCTATTAGAAAGGGAATTGAATGCTGAATAAAGCGAAATGAAAAAAAAAATAGGGTTTCCATTTAAAATAAGAAAGTTGATGTTACTTCCGGTCAGACCGGAAGTTAACTTCGACATGTCAATATGCTAAAATTCTAGCTCTCATGTCATTATATCAACGCTCCAAATTTCACAAACCTACTTCATACAATAACTGAGATATTCCGTAGGCAATACTTCCGTAGCCACCCGGTATATATACTGAAGCATACATCGACACCAATATTCAATTTTCAATATCACATAGCACTAGTCTAATCCCTGAAGGAATAGACGAGTGCTCTCTTCCAATCAATCTTAACTAGAAAATAACAAAAATCAAAGAAAAAAGAGAAAAACATATGATGCAGTGCACATTTTGATACGACTTCTAGAAAACGTTCACTGAATAATACTGCTATTTCCTCGAAGTTCCTATAGGCACACATCCTATAGAACTTAAAGTCGAGCTCAAAGTGAAACGTTGAACTCTGATTTTGATATTCGATATAAATGTTCTATATGTTGAGCACATCAACAATGAAGTTTCGTTACTACGTTACACCACCGGTACTCGATATATATGAATATATTTTATGTATCGATATATTATATGAATATATTTTATGTATCGATATATGTGAATGAATCATATGTATCGATATGTATCGATATGTATCGACATGTATCGATATGTATCGATATGTTATATCGATATATCGATATATCGATAAATATCGATATCAAAGCGAAAATTGATATCGATATCCAATTTTCAATATCGCACAGCACTATTTTGTAGCACATTGTAGGTTCAATCAGCAGCGACGAAATTCGGTCTAATCCGCAATTATACGTTTATACCGAGGTTTATACAGTTGTTTATACCAATAATAGTTATTTATTACACAAGGGCAAATGGTAGTAGCACGAGGTTCTGTTGTCTCTTGACGCGAGCTGAAATCTGATATTTTTTCTGTGTATAATAGTAGGGGAGGCAAAGAGGCAGAATAGGGATTCACTCGAGCGTCATGGAGACGTATCATATTGTGAAGATTAGATGCGAAAATGAAAAAAAGTTTATATGATATATGACCTTACACTGGTAGGGAGAGCGTGTACAGGTGTTGAAAAAAACTGTCACATACAAATACTCGAGTGCATCATATATTAATAGTGTATGCACTCCACGTGTTTCTGATAACCAAAAAATAATAATCCGCCGGTTCGCATAGTGGAGGTACGTAGGGATAGAGGAAAATTTTATTCCGGCGCGTCAGATAATGAGGAGGAAAGTGAACCGTCAAGTAGCTCCGATTCAAAAGACTGACGATTTGGACGCGACCACAAGTCATGATCAATTTTTGAAAATAAAAAAAAAATCGTGACCTTGAAATACTTGAGTACGTCAGATTATTATACAGACTTTTCATGTTGAGGTCCTTGTCGTATGGACCCGTAATCTGACAATTATGTAGAGGAATTACCTCAATCTGACGGTTGGATTTTTTTTGTTAACTGAATGTAATAACTAACATATAAAATATACAGGAGGGGTCAGTTTTTTGAAGCAAGACTTCAACAACTCGAAAAATTCACAATTTTGAGGTAGAAGGCTCATGTAGACATACAGGGTGGACCAATAAAGTGCGGTAGAGTGAGATAACGGCTTTGCTGTGTGAGATAGATGAACAAATATTCTTGAGATGCTCTTGTCTCATGAGAAATACATTTCTGGAATATTTTGCGTTATATAGGGTTACTCGTAAATGCGTGACGTATCAAAGTTATACTTTTTCTTATAGCACACCTTGTATTTCATTGCATTTTCAGATTCCGCCTCATGAGCTCATTTCAACGATCTATATCACACTTTAGTTTTGAGAGAAATCATCACAGAGCAATAGGGTGCAAAAAATCGGGATTTTTCAACTTTCGGAATTTCCTCTATCAAAAATACTCTCATTATTGGTCAAAACGGTCCACATGTCCCTATCTTAATTCACTATTTACTGACATTTGATTTGAACGAATATGGATGGTTCATAGTTCCCAGTGGCTGGAAGCACCACACTTAAATGATGATTTTCGCTACTTGTGCAAATCGGCAGATTATGATATTTCCGTGGTCCGAGACTAATTGAATTCAAAATAAGAAAGAAATAAACCGCGCTAGAGAATGTACAGGTGACGAATTTTTTTGCAACTTTGTGGCTCTCCCATTTCCTTATGTCACGCTCAAATCCTCAGATTATTGAAATGCACTATTTCAAGCATGTAATTAACTAGCCATGTCTCAATGTGACGCGCTCGAGTATTTCTGACGATCGATTTATTTTTACTAATCTGATCGGCTGCCCTAAACTTTCGATACCATATGAAGGGCCCAAATGTCCAAGGATATACCCCCCTTATGTTAATCTATCGCGCTCGAGTAAATCCCGAAATCCCCGCTTGGGCTTCCCTACTATTTTTTTCTGTACCAGGAAGAAGGACGAATCAATATTGAGAATATATTACCTTACATTAAAATCAGAGAATCGTCGACGGCATATTTGAAATTGTTAAAAAGAATTACATGCACCTGCGTTCCAGGCATCTGCAGGCATCTTCATCATTCCTTCGATGTAATCGAATATATGTTTCAGTCTAATTCTGTGATTTGATATTCAAAAATTGGGGACATAGTGGTTGTTTAGTAATTCACGTAACCGCGAAGTGCATATGGAACGAAAGATGAAAAGGACTTTCACTTCTTCCTCGAAGACGATGTTATTGGTTTATTTTTCGGAACTTGCCCAACAAAAGCCATCAACACTGCACCTATATATCCGGGGAAAAAGTACTCATTTTCTCCATGTCAAAACAGAGAAGAAATGTCAAAATTTTTTGTCTGTCACAGAAAACACGATTTTTGTATACTTGTCAAATATTGATGGCATATCACTCTGATATTGTAGTTGACAATAATTTCCTACGATCTCATAAGGAAACTGTTTCATTCCATTTGGATAATTCTTTATTTTCCAGTATTATTCCGATATTGTTGATAAGATGTGGTTTATCAAAAGAAGAGGGATTTTTCATCTTGGGAAATAAGCACTGTATTACCAACAGATCATCTGCCATTGTTTTCAACAAATGGCCAAATCAAATGAACCAATATGATGACAACCTAAGTGAGTTTTACAAGTATTTTATTATTCAATGAACTTGTAGCGTTATATATAAGTTAGTCAACATTTCATGTTTCTTATTATTTATTTAATAAGTAGGTAAGAGGTCCAGGTAGTTGTAGTAGTTACAGATCGAGTAATAAACATTGAATTTGTGTCAATTTTATATTATATTTCAATGCTCTCCATCCTACACAGGGTGTTTCGGAATGATGCTGCCTTAGTTTTTATATACCATCAGAGATGCAGTCGAAAATAGAAAAACTCATGAAAAGAAGGAATATTGAAGTTTTCTCTTTTATCAACTTTTTTAGATTGTTTCTGATAGAGGGAACTTCGTCTTTAGTGACTTGTTCATTTCACAATAACTTCTCTCTGGGGAATGGTAGTACTGTACGGCAACACAATTGAGTCAAGAATGAGGAGATATTCAGAACAGAGTGGTATTTTGCTAGACTATTTCACGAAGCTATATAAGAAAGCATTTATTATACACATGAACAATCCTTCATAACCATGAACAATTCATTTCAATCATGAAGAAAGAATTATATATATAAACAATTCGCTCTAAATATGAATAATTTGTTTCCTATAACAATGAACAAGGTTTTATAAACATACAAAATTATTCTAGACTTTACTCGATTACTATAAATGATAAAATTATAAAAATTCTCAGTAGTAGGTCCTTTGTTATTGTTATTGTCATTACTTGATGTACTTGGAGCATTTCTAAATGTGTTCACTATATTCTGATGATGTTCGGCATTGAGATGTAAATACGGCTTCATCGAGTTCGAACTTCCATGTCCAGTCATTTCCATAGTTTGTTATTCACTCACGCCAGATTGTAGTAACTGACTAATTGCAGTGGCGCGATTAGAGTGATTTGTTATTTTCACATTTTGAATGTCTAATCCTATATTTTTTGCAGATAGTTTCGTCCATTTTGATATTCTATTGATACCTACAGGGCAATTCTTATGCCGATTATTATTTTATTTATTAAACTTGCCATTCACCTTCAGAAAAAGTCTGTCATTGATAATAATTCCCCTTTTGATAGTAGTTTCCGTTATGATCTTACAGGACACATTCCAGGATCATCTCAATTTTGAGTGAGCCATTTGGTATCTGCAAAGATGGCACCTTGGCAGGTTCTGAAAAATATAGGATTATATGCTATTCTGTTTGTTAAACAGCCTTTGTTGTCAGTTTCTTTCTTGGAAAAATGTAACATGGCAAAAGTGGCTTCGTTGCCTCTCCAAGCTAGTTCTACTGCAGCTACATGGAAAAATGTCTTCTGTAGTCCCTCTGGCGTGTTTTCATCACATTGCAAGCACATTTTTTTATTTTCTTCTGGAGTCATAGCGACAGAATTTATTTTCCTGTTTTCGGGTATAGCTTGCAATAATTTTCTCTTACTATCACGAGCCGCCCTTGTCTCCTTGAAAATTATATTTTTGAAGGGATCAATATATCTTTGATACTCACGAAAATATTTTTCTTGCATCAATTTCGCAGTAGTGTTCCATATGGTTTCGATGACACTCTCTTTGTAATCACTATATACTATCTATTTTCCGCATATTGAATGTCCAGTTTTTCAGAATGGATGCCAGTTTTACTGTGCTATATTTTCTGCATATAATTTAAAGTTGCGTTCCACACAGAACGTCATCAATTGCAACTTATTTTGACGTCTACAATTAATTTTTCGTCAAACTGCCAAACTTTGATTTGCTATTCATAGTCACATCGTTGAAAACACGAACGCTGTCAGACCAATCAGAATTGAACGAAAGCTAGGCTTTTCGCGATAAGCACACGTTGTCTCTGGCCGTTACCACCGATAAAACAAGGCCAGCAGACTCTGACGTAAACAGCTCGTGACGTCGCATACTCAGGCCATCTTCCAAGGCATTCGCGTCGATCGATCGTCAGTTTGTTTTTGTTTAAGAACGGTGGCGTAGGTAAATCGCGTGTGCCTCGAATTCTCTTGTTGTTTATTCATCAGAATAATTGGCGGAGAAATTACTGTTTTGTGGAATATTTCGTGTTGTGATAGGCGAAATAACAATGCCTTACAAGTGTTGTGTTCCCTTTTGTCGGGGAGATTATGTGGGTGGTCCAAAAGTTCATGCTTTTAGTTTCCCGTTGGACAAGGAACTATCGAAAAAGTGGGTACATGCAATTCACCGCAAGGATTTTACGACTCCATCGAAGTACAGTAAAGTATGTGAATTACATTTTACTAAAGATGATATTATTACTTCATCTACTGCAACCGATTCAAAAACTGGCAAAACTGTAACAATAGATTTGAGAATTCCTAGGCTCAAACGAGATGTTATTTCCACTCAATTTCCCAACGTCCATCTTATTTATCGAAAGATGTAAAATTACGCACAAGTCGTGATGAAAAACTTGAGATACTAGAGACTAAAAATTTGGCACAAGCACTTACCAAAAGTAAAACTGAATTCGAAAATAACCAAAAATCATTTTGCTACACAGAATTTCAAGAATTTCTAGTTGTATTAGAGTCTTTTCAGTTGCCCGAAAAGTGGTTCAAAATTATCGATTTGCAAAAAGTCACATTATTCAAATTGTCTTATTCTCCAGGCCCGTAATTACATATTCGGTTGTGATTGATTCTGTTTTGAATGTGGAATCATTTTTGTATGACCTAGCGATACAAACATCTCTAAAAGCCAATCTGAAAACACCTTTTATCTCTAATAATATCAATCAAATCAAGGAATTACTAAATGAAATAGATAAAAATGAGATACATAATTCGAGAAAATGTCTTGATAATCAGAAAAAGAGTGTTTTGAAACATATTTCGAATGCATTGCATGGTTTCTGACTCAATACATTCTCAAATTTCTTTCTGAAAACGGTCATTTGCCTCGTGGCAATGAATGCAGAATGATCACATTGCAACTATTATATTAACATGTACTACAAACACTTCACTTAAAAATTACTGTTTCAAGTCTAACGACCAATTGGGTAAAAAATCCAACAACAGGAAATTGAAAACACTCACTGGCTAATTTTTTAGGTAATAGGAATTCTCCAAGATAAATATAGGTAATTAGGTATAACAAACGGCATGTCTATCAAACTAAAATACATTTTCCCCAATTTTCTTTCGATCAATCTCATGATAAGTTTATGTTCTGTGGGCCCTGTATAAGTAGGTGTGAAGTTTACCTCTTATGAGATTGAATCACTACAATTTTTGCCAATATATTTAATTCGAATGGGTTGCTGTAGGTGGGTATTTGTGTTTTATTCTGGTTTTTGCTTTGTAACTTCGTTTTTCCATAATAAAATCGAATGGGATGCGAAGAAGGCCTCAGTTGACGGCTGGCATCCTCTTTCAACCAAAAGCCCTTCAAAAAAAAAAAGCAAAATCGGCTCAATAATGATCTAAAACTAAAATCGGCGGTCGCCTTATAGCGCTATAAATAAGCGCTTGTCGTTTCGAGCCGCTGGTTAGGCCTGACTAAGTGACGTAACCCACGGAGCATGCAGGCCTTGTTTTATCGGTGGTAACGCTCTGGCTCGTGATTGGTCAGATTATGTGATGAGTGAAATAGTCAATTTTATTCATGCCACATTCCATATTTTGCTAAAAACTTCTGGGTGGAATGACGAAAACTTATTTTTATAGTGAAAAATGGAACATTCAATCTCTACTGATATTTTCTCTTTCGAAAATGATATGAAATAACTGTTTTGGCTCCCATTGAAATTAAAGATTTTTATGAATGAATCATACTTAGTGTTTTCTTAACATTGGTAGAATATTCGTGGGGTGATTATTGAGGTATTCTCATGAAAAAAAGTATTTTTGGGAGCTACACGCCCCTTCAAAGAATGCACTCTGAATGGAACGGTTCTTCCTCAATATTTCTGAAACCGTGAATTTCGAAATTTTGATCAGGAGCGTATCTTACTGGAGGAGTAAACAGTAAAAACAATCCCACTCCTTTATGGTAATTTTCATCACATTCTAATTGAATTCTTCAATAAATTCTTATTCTAGGGTCATCGTTCTACCCAACCACATTAGATTCATATAATTTTGCATGCGATTTTGACGGAGATTGTCGAAACAAGGATTCCTGGACCATTAAAACAAACTGGAACTCAATAACTTCAATGGATGGCCCTGTCAATGAATATGTGACTGACAGACGTTGGGAAGGTAAAATTAGAATAAGTAACTTTTACAAATGAATACTCTCGATATCTTATTATTTAATCCCATTTTTGATGATATCAGTGATCACGTGACGTACGCAAATATTCCAAGCCAGCTAATATGAAAGTGTATGAAACTCTCTGTGATTCTCATTGTCACTTCACTGGTTGTTTACGTATCTCCTAGTACCCAATGACGGGTGGTGCTGATATACAGGGTGTTCCATAGATGTTGTATAAGTCACTGTTTTGTTCCGATCAATAGTGCTGCTCCTAAGGCGGCCTATGTAGTCAGTAACAGAGCCTACACACACACAGAACACACAAGGGCTGAAGGACCTCTTGTAAGGTCGGTACCCATACTCGCCAACATTATAAATATTCTGGCATAGTCATTAGATATGGTCTTTGATTGTGTTTTTGATAATTGGAAATGATATTCTTTTCACATCAACATTGACGTATAAGCCAGTATCTACAGATGATCATTTGACACCACGCGAAGTAATAACTAGTCTATTTCATTACACCCAAATTAAATAGCTATAGGTCTGCATATTATTTTTTTTTAACCTAACGTTGAAAACAAGATGCGTAAAGTATCAAGCATTTATCTGTAGATACTTCTTTAGGTGTACCTATATAAATACTATTGTTGTGATTATTGATATTCTTATGTTTATTCTGGTTATTGTTATCATTATCAACATGAACATTATAATTATAAATACCATTGTAGTCACATTTAATTATTTCATTATGTTAGAGTGGAAAAAGTTCTCTCAGCCTCAGCAATTCTTGTAGGAAGTGTTATAAGGATTCGCAAGAGAAAATGAATTTACGGATGAGTTTCCTTACAACAAAAGTTCAATGACAAAAAATGCGCAGGGAGTTTCACAAATTCAAAAATTACAAGACTCACCATTTTTTTGTTGACTGAACTATTTCAACTTCACAAAACTCAAGATTTTATATATATATATATATATAGAGAGAGAGAAGGGAAGTCGTTGCTGACAAGTTAGAGATGAAACTTAGTAGTGGGGAAGCAGCAAGTAAAAGTGAAACTCATGCAAGTTCGTCCAAGCTTTCGGAAAGTTATATTTCCATCATCAGGGCCAGACTACAAAATGTTATAACAATTATAAGCAAAGCTAGTTGACTAAGTGGTGCAGTACTTAACAACTCATTGAGGTTGGTTACATTGATGTTACTAACAAGGTATGTATAAATAAAAAAACGTTTTTATAACATATCTGGAACATGACAAATTCAAAAAATTAAAATATTAGGTCAATATCAAAAACGTTGTTGATTTAAAATCATGATGAAACTTTTCTTTTCACAACGTGTGTCAGAATAAAAATCTTTGGTTAGGAAAACTGAACCTTATTCTTCCAATTCACTGGTGACATGGAGCTTAAGTGTGATGACCTTGGTCTAATGGTACCTAGTGCTATTGTGTGTTAGTCACAAGAGTATTGGAAGGAGAAAGTTTTTGAGTTACTAGTAAAACTGGTAAGATTCTTGCAGGCAATATGTGCATCACATCAAGATTATTAGAAAGTTGTTTATTGTTGGTTATGTTGAGTTGTTATTATTTAACACCGTATTGGGGTTATCAATTGATAAAAGATATGAATAAATTTCACTAAGATGGTTAATGTCCGATCTTTTGTTGATACAATTTGGTTCTTGGGCAATGAAAGACATTTCCAAAAAAGTTCTTTTTTTGTGGTTACTTTCTGTAGCTAAAATTCTTGCTGATTGAAAATCCATTTTGTGATCAGAGGAATTAACATGGTCCGCCAAAGCACATCTTTCTGGATGAAGCCTACAGTCGCTCCTGTGGGATGTGATTCTGTTGGCTAATGATCTCTTTGATTGCCCGATGTATATTTTATCACAATCCTGACAGGGGATGCTGTACACCACATTCGTCTGTGCAGTAAGAGGTACTTTGTCTTTGACTTTGGTGTAAATTGATCTAATTGTTAAAACTGTTTTATTGGCAATTTTTAGGTTGGAATTTTTCTTCCAAATCCCAGCCAGCTTCAACAAAACCTCATTTTCCGTAAGTGTTTTATAATCGATAACAAGGATTTAATTTCCATATCAATTTTAATTGTTTTATAAAGTTCCTGATGAAGAGCCAATAAAGACTCGAAAGCTTGAATAGAAACAAGAGTACACTTTATTTTTCTCTTTGACTGCATACCCGAAGGAAATCAACAGTTTCATCCTTTACTTAGACAGTCGTCTAATCCTCTCCTCTATATATATATATATATATTTGAATCACGAGCTTGATGAGGTTTTATGTGGAATTTATAAGATGAGAGAAATCGTGTGTAAAGAGTGAAAAAAGGATTGAATAGGAAACCTAAATCTGATTTTATGCGATTTCTATCAGCTTCCATATTACTCAGGGCTTCCATATTACTCAGGGTTTTCTTTATGATGTATGTTTCAGAAATTCCAAATTGGAAAAAATAACTAGCATAATTTGACACGAATCCTATATAAGTGTGTGAATAGGAATATATAAGTTTTTTATCTGAATGGTATTTCAAACACACATCAATTTTTTCACAGTTCACGAGAAGAAAAATTATGTCTCCTGAAAACCATCCTATATCAGTAAAGAGATTCAAAATGAAAAATGTATCTGTACCTTAACAACACCAGTAAATCCTAAGGACTTCCCATGGACGTCCCTGATTTTATACTAGGACCTCCCAGGGATGTCTTTTGTCGGGACAACGTACATACTAGGGATGTCCCAGGGAAATCCGCTGGCCGCTTAAAAAGGCATCCAAGGGATGTCCTTCTGGTACGTCCCTGGGATGTACCAAGTACGATGAAAGGATATCCCAGGGACATCCTTTCGACAAAAGAAAAAAAGATGCAGATTTATAAACAGGACTTAACTACAGAAACCTGAATAAATACAACTTTATTAGGAATTGGGTATAATTATTATCATTCTTGGGTGTTTAAAAATGAGGGGCATTATGCATGTACGATTTCTGTCTGCGAAAAATGGTAATTTCTTAATAAGTTCTTAGACTTTATTCTTTATTTTCATTACAATCATTTTCCGTAAGAGAAACAAACATTTCCAAAAAAATTCAACTCAATAATTTGATGAAATTCGATGACTCTGTTGTGAATGGATATCAGATACTCCAGGGACACGAATGGGATAACCTAGGGATGTACCGGGCGGGATGTCCACTGGACAACCACTGCAGGACATCCCCTGGATGTCCCAATCATGTCCTTGTACCGCGGGACATGAAAGGGACGTAGGTACCTAGGACATCCCTGTGTTGTTAGGGTAGAGTTGTGTTCTTGAAATTGCTATCACCAACGAATGAATGATCTTGCAAAATACAAACATATCGAACTCATGAATGTCTCAGTATTTTTTTGTAGATTTGCCATAAATACCTGATGATAAACGTATTCGCTTAGAAAACTGCCATCAGAAACAGATTGCAAATACATTTCAAACTAATGATAAGCGATAGCGATAAGGAATTGAATGTATCAGCAGAACACATTTCAAACACACAAATGCCACGGTATTTCAATAAGATATTATTAGAAACTGATTATTAATTCATTTGCATTTTGAAGTTCGTGAGGAATTGCTATGAGGAACTGATTAATAATACATATATATCTGTAGAACACAGTTTATACCCATCATAGAGTTATGTATAGACTATTTCATTTTCGATGTTTCTACGGGATATCTTACTTATTTTCGAAGATAAAGATTTGCGGATTTTGAGAACGTTGTCTACTTTTTATTGAAACTCACGATACCGCAAATGAAATTTTCATAACTCGCTTCGTTTCAAATATACAGGGCAAAATTGAAAATCTTGTGTTCTGGGTCCACCCCTGTATCTCAGTTATGTTTCAATCTATTGAAAAGTAAAAACTCGCCTTTTTTACATTTTCTCACGAAGAAACCAGTGGTGTAGTCAAATTTTCAAACTAAACTGTTATTATTCAATTACGTTGTTTTCAAATGGAACACCCTGTTTATTTTTTCATAATGTGAACATCAAGGCTTTTCAATTTCCAAAAATATATAACACATAAGTGATATTTTGAGTAGTAGGCATGAATTTGAAAAATGTCTAGTTTTTCAGTAGATTTTTCAGCGATGGGCCTTGTAAATATGTGGCAACATGCATTTTCCATATCACAAATTTTCATATTGACCTTACTGCTGACACAATGTTTTCTCATACACTAGTTTCAATTCCACCAACATCAAAGATCTACCAATATTCAGCAATATTTATTGTCTCTAAAAGATGTGGACCTCATTAGTAGGTGGCTATGAAAACAGAGCGGGTGTAGAATGTTTTTAAATCCTTGCCACCTCCCTGCCGAATTCACAAATTTTTCATACGATAGCGAATACTAATCCAGGATACGAAAATTAGAAATGGTTGTGATATAAAATAAGTTGGTTTCAAATTTTTATGGTTCTGATATCCTGGATTATTATTCGCCGCTGTATAAAAAAATTGTAAATTCTACAGGTATGTGACAAATATTATAAAACATTCTGCACTCGCTTTTTTTTCATAGCCACCTACTCATTAGGTCCACAGCTATATATTCAATAAATACTGCTGAATATTGGTGAATGTTTGATGTTGGTAAAAATTTAATCTAGTGTGTGAAGAAACACTGTATCAGCAACAAGCAAATATGAAAATTTATGATATGGACAATGTTGCCAGATATTTACAAGTTCAATCGATGAAAAGTCTACTGGGAAACTAGAATTTATCAGAATGTTGGGCTAAGACTAGAAATATCTCATAATTTGTATATTTTTGAAAAGCAAAAAGCATCAATGTTTCAAATGAGGAAAAATATACGTGATGTTCCATTTGAAAAAACATAACTTTGGATTGATTATATCTAAATAATAACAGCTTATTCTGAAATTCTGATTACGCCACTGGATTCTAC